GGAGGGAGGGAGGGAGGGAGGGAGGGGGACTCTGACCCTGAGTCTATGTCCATCCTTTACAAACCCATCAGTAACCGCAGAAGCCGCTCTCCTACACCCAGGGAACAGCCTGAGAAGTTAGGGTTCCACAGCAGCCCCACATCACAACTTGGTGCTTCCCAGTTCCAAGGGGACGAGTCCTTGAGGGGCTATGGCACACCTCTGGGCATCCCCACCTTTTCCCTGCCTCCCAAGTCCTAACCCAGAACCCCATGCCACATCACCGGCTGCCCGCATAAGGGTTGGCTTGACTTTCACATTCAGAGTGGGTGGGCTGGCCCCTCACAGCCCTTATGTCATGGCCCAGGACCCTCCAGCTCCTACCTCCTGGTCACACTGTTCCAGCCAGAGGGGTCTCTCGCCCTCCCTCCCAGAAGCCTGCACAGCTCAGTCACACTCATGAGGCTCCTCTAGTCTGAGCCCTCCAACCCAGATCAACTTGTCCCCAAGCTTGTCTGACCTCATGGAATCCAATACCCTCGTGCCTCAGTTTCCCAACTCAGGAACCCCATGGGCTAGCCCAGGAGGACACCATAGATGGCGGCCAGGAAGGAAGGCTCCCATTGAGCCTCAGACACGGGAGGTGAAGAGTTGGAACGGGGTCGGGGTTTTTGGCAGGCAGGACTTTGGGCACCAGAGCTCTTGACCATCGCCATTGAGAACCGCGTCAATGTCACCACACACGGGTGTGTGCGCACAGGGGCGTGCATGCACTATGTCAGAGCAAGTGACAACCACCAGATGTTGAGCTTCAGAGAGCCCACCCTCCCTCATACAGGTGTCACTGTATATGGGATACAGTCCCTTACCCATAATCCACTGCTCTACTGCACAGCTGCTCTGGCATGGGTATCGCAAGGGGCCCTCTTGGAGGAAGTGGGCTTTCATGCATCCCAGCCACACCCAGAGCGCCACTCTCAACTTCTGTTTACACATGGGTGCTGGGAGAGGCAGGGCATGGGCCCACCACACTTCCTCCAGGTGCTGGGAGGGCAAGGGCAGCTCACCGTTGGAACAGACCACGCCCGCATCCTTCTCGTGCCCGCAGCGGCTCTTCAGCCAGCCCAGGGAGCTGCAATTGGCCAGCGAGGGCTCCGTTCCTGCACATTCCACCTCATCCAGCATGACAGGTCCCTGTCCTATGGGCACAAAAGGAAGCCAGGGGCTGCACTGGAGGGGGAACTGGACCCTTGGTGGAGAGCAGGTCCCTCAACAGGGCCGCTCACTGACACACTAGGACGTCAGCTTTGGAGGGGTGGGATAGCAGCCACACCTGGCCCGAAGGCAGCTCTGCCCAGCGCCCGAGTGGCGTTCTCGTAGCCCAGGGCCCGGCAAACGACGTTGGCATCTAAAATGTTCCAGAGGTTGTCACACACTGTCCCCCACTGGCCTCTGTAGAAGATCTCCACGCGGCCCTCACTGGCTGAGGCTCCATTAACCAGACGCATGTCCCCATCTTCGGTACCTGCCAGGAAAGCGGAGGTCAGACGGGAGGAGGGCTGGCCTGTTTTGGTGCCCACCCCCAGGACTTCGATGCTTTGTGCTGTTCTGCTGGGTGAAGGCTGCCCCAACTGGGGTGCAATGGCCTTCTAGAGTTGGTCTTGAACCACTTCCATGCCCCCTCTCCAGGTGTGAAAAGTTATCCACTGAGGAGGTGTGGAAGCTCTGTGAGGGCCCACAAGGAGGCTGTGGCCTTTCTATCTCTCAGTACTGGGCCTTTTGCTACAAAGGAACACCTCAGATCTCCAGCCTGCAGAGTGGAAGTGGTGGCCCCCGGAGGATCTGGGAGGGGAAGTGGTCCCTTGCTGGCTCTTGGAATACTGGCCTGAGGGGACAGGCAGACACAGGCAGAGAGAGATGCCCCTCAAACCTACAGCATCAGTCTAAAGCAGACAACCCTGAACCACAGACAGTCTGCACTCAGGCAACGGGCTCCTGTCCCCCACTCTCTGGGGCTCCTATCTCTGCCAGTGCTCAGAGGGCCAGCAAGTAGCTGGGTGCTTGAATTTGGGGGTCACCCATGCTAAAGAGGGATGCTCAGCTGAGGGTGCAGGATGACTACCCTCAGGGACTCTCTGAATTCTAACCTGTGCCCTGAGGCCTCCATTCTAGGTTAGCACAGGCCCAGAACGCCCTCCTTGGCCCAAGGATGAGATGGGAGGTTCCTGGGCATTTCTCCATCACCTGAGTTTCACTTGGGCCCAGGTGAGCCCGAGGGCCCACACACCACCATTACTTGGAATGACTGGGGGTCCACATGGAGAGAATCCCGAGACACAGCACCTCACATCTGGGTTTTCTGCAAGGAGGGGGTGACCCACAGAGCGAAGTGCAGTAGCCTTGAAGACCTCTATTTTGGACATTTCCCAGCAGGCATGACTCACCTTGAGTTCCCGGAACCAGCAACCACAAAGAAAAGAGCCACAGGAGAGCCATTGCCTGGCCCAGAAGTCCAACCCTGCAGCGGAAGGGACAACAGAGTGAGGCTGGTAAGTTCTCCCTGGAAATGAGCAGTTCCACGGTCCTCTCGGCCCTGCTTGTGGGGGACAGGGCAGTTTTGAGGGCGGCCTCTCTTCTACAGGGCCTAGATGACAATGTGAGGCCCTCACGCAGGCCTCTCACATGCTCTGGGGACAACCTTCAGGTCAGTGAGATTTCCCAGGTGGAGCTCCTGGCAATGAGGACCCAGGAAGCACAAGGGGCTGTCCCTTGGGAAAGGACAGGGTGTAAGCCTGTTAACAGTTGGGTGTATCTTCAGGCAACAGCCCCTCTGTGTGGTGTGCCCCAGAGGCATGAGAGACACCAGTGGGAGGAGTTGTGGATGAGGTTGGAACAGGGGTCTCCTCCCTCAGGAGGGGAGTGACAGAAACAGTGCAGAAGGGCCTGGGCTCCAGTGGTGTGAAGCCAGGGTGGGTGGGAGGTGTGAAGGGGGTGGGTGTGAGGTGTGAAGGGAGTGGGGTGGGAAGGGGTGAG